TTTTTTTTCTTGCTTTAAAAGATCCAAAAAAAATCGAGTTAAAGGGAGTAAAGTTCGAGTAATCGAGAATAATTAACATGAAATTGAGGATAAAAGGGTCGGGACCCCTTAAAAAATCGAGTTATAGTAATATTCGAGTTATCGTACTTCGAGTTATAGCGAATTGACTGTATATATATATATATTGTATATATTACGGAATTAACTTACATCTTACTTACTTCTAAAGTTTTAAAATAATTTTCGCAGCATTTCTTAAGAAATATGCTCCCATTATTTTGTCCAACCCCTGTACAGTTTGAAAAGATAAATTATTTAACTATAAAATTAATACTTTTCTTGAATTTTGCATAAATTTTGATCGAAAGTCAGAAACGAGCTCTTATGGAAATCCGGAGTAAATATTGGAATCAAAGTTGAATATTTTAATAACCTACACAACTCCGCACAGGTCTAATTTTAACCTGAACTGCTGTATGCAGTTCAGTCTGTTTGAGTACCGTCTATGTAAATAATTTAAACAAACAAATAAAAAAAATCAAACCATATTCTTTAAAAACAGTAAGACTTCGCAACGTTAAAATAATTCCTGTTCGAAATCGTAAGATTATTATCATTTCGCTAATATTAAAATATTTACGCTAATATTTAAGGAATTTTAACTAGGTAGAAAGCGACAGTTGTGACCATGACTTTGAACCTTGTCGAAAGAAACATAAAAAAATAAAAATGAAAAAAAACAATTATATATGATTGACGAGCAAGACAGATGCTACAATTAAAAGTCGAAACTAAGATATTATAATTTGATAAACATTGAAAATGTGTATTAGAAAAAATAGAATATTTAAATATGTATCATAATCGAGTTAATTTTTAAATAGATTAAACTGCTCTAAACCAGATATTTAGGGCAGCATAAAATAATTAATAATTTTTTAATAATAATTAATTTTTATAAAGAAATGTTTAAAACTATATTATAAATGAAATATGTTTAAAACTATATAATAAGATTTTTAAATTTTTTTATAAAACTTGATAGTTTTTTTTTAAATTCTTTAAAATTTTAATTCTTTTAAAATAATATTTTTTGTTAAATATTTTTATTTTGAAAAACTTGATTGTTTTGTTGAAAAAATATATAAAATGCATTTTTTATCAATATTTTGAAATTTTTTTTTAATGCAGTCATTTGCTTAATAAGCGACTTTTATTACACAGTGCATAAGTTTCGCAATATTATATATATTTTAATGAAAACTAAAATCAAATAAATTAATGGGGAATTAAAATATTATTTACAGACAGTGATGCAAATTTGGTCCAAAATCAAAGCAATATGATAGCCTCAACTACAGCTTAATGATACGAATGAAATTTATAAGAAACTGAAAATTCAAAATTAGCTGTTAAATTTTAAATTTACACAATATGTGCATCAATTTGGTTAAATAGTTTTTTGAAAATACACAGGAAAAGAAAGTTAACTAAACTTAATCTTGAAACATTACAGAAGAATTCCTTGACATTATAGGAGCATATCGACATAGAACATATTGACATTATAGAATTCTTTGATATTATAGGAGAATTGCTTGACATTATAGGTGAATTCCTAGACATTATTGGAAAATTCCTGGAAAACCTTTTAATTAATAATTTTTTAAAAGCAAAAAAAGGGAATAAAAATATCGGGATGGGTTCAAATTGACTTCACCGTTGTACTCCAGAGGTTAATAATAAGTTTACTTCATTGTTAACCTTCGGAGTACTAAGGGGGGTCAACTTTTTACGTATTTCCCATATGTCAAGAATTTTGAAGGTTATTGTAAAGCTTTTGAGCATGAATATAAAATTCGTTTAACCAAAGATAATTCCATGAAAAAAAAATTAATAATTATTTATTATATTTGAATTATTTTTTAAATAACAGTCCGAAAAACTGTAAAGTTTAAAAATACAAGCATTGAATGAAATTCGTCAAATAATTCAATCGGACTTGTAGTCAAGTAGTTTATCGGTCAAATAATTTCGAAAAATTCAGATATTTCAGATTTTTTTTTCTTTCTTTTTTTAAGACTATTTAAGACAAACAGTGTGAAAAATGGAAAGTGATTACGATTTTCAAATGAGGCAGAAGGGATTTCTACCGTACCAAATGGGATATCTGACTGACTGGATGGTAAAATTAGCCGAAGATGAACTGCAAGAAACTGAAGAAACTCGCAATCAAGCTCTTTTAGAACTTAGGAGAATCATAGCCAGTAAAAACTTTTTATCCCTCTTTTTTTTTTAAATTTTTTTAAATGTTTTTAGAATCTTTTTCAAATATTAGGTCGAAATTATTCCACATGGGGAATTTTTAAATAATAATTAAGCAAGGAAAAGAACAAAAACGCTATTAAACTCTGACCAATGAAGTTCAGTTTACTTAGAACTCGGCTAAACAGAAAGCAACAAAATCTGTTTGATTGCTGATTATCAATGATTATTAATTTCACCATGCAATCGAGCAGTTTTTGAAATACTTTATCCTGACTGCTTCATTGATAATTCAAAAGATTTTGATGGAGGTTTAGTTCCTTTTTTGAATGAATATTAATATTAAAACTTCATTCAACTAAAATGCAACTAAACTTCCTGTAGCTCCTTATTTCATTTTCAAGGATTCTAAAACTGTATATTAAGGACTGTCGATGGAATGTCCTGCACTATTCGTCTAGTTTATAACAGTAAAAAAAGCTTTATATGAAAGATTAGCGATTTTGAAAAAAAAAATACTCATAATGAAGAAGGCAATTTAAAATTTACAAGTATGCAATATAAGCAAACCTACTTAAAATAATAATTTAAAGAAACTTAAAATCGATTTAAAGGATTTTGGTTTAAGTCCAATATGAATGTCTTAAGTTCCTATGTGGGATTTATTCGTCATCTTGAATTTACTGAGTGGTTTAAAGGAGGAAGAAACTTCAAATTTGCTGTTCAAATAATTGAGATTTTGCGTTCGTTATACTTTTTTACAATTAATCAAATGAAAACTAGCCTAATCGACTCAGTTGATTGTTGAGATATTATTAGGGAAAATTTTAAAAACAGCACAATTCTTAAAGTATAACTAAATACACGTTAGATATATCTATCTGGAAAACTGACGTATTATTTCTTATGTATTTTTTGAACTGGATAGAAGAAAACTGTGTCCAATTAGATTAAGCTAATATTTTTATGCTTAAAAATTATATATTTTTTAATCTTATACCCATCCCTATTTACACAAAATCCTCAAAATACAGAAACTATTAGCTCTATTGACTTTGATTTCATTAAAATTAGCTTAAAACAATTTATAAACCTTTAACGAGATATGCAAGAAATGTTGTCTGCCAGCAGCGCTCAAACCAAGCACTTCCGTGGATGTAGAATGGTTTTTTCAACCCCTAATTTACCTCTCGAACCACTTTTATTTAAAAGTACAATAATTCTTACCTTTTTCCATTTACACAGAAAAAACTTTTATAACTTAGAAACTATCAATTCTACTGACTTTGACTTCATCAGAATTTGCATAAAACAAGGCATAAAAAGCAATACTAATATGGAGCTGCGAGAAAACGGAAGAGGTTCGAACCAAGGTTGTAGTTGATTGTTTAAAAAACATGATGGAAAAGGGTGTACACTCTGACCAGGGTGAATTTAAAAATTTATATTGGCCACCGAACTCTCTCGATGATTAGGAAAGAGTGATTTTTAACAAATTTATCAAAACACCATATATACAAAACCTCAAATGTGTTTACTTTTTGTGTTACATTTTTGACAAGGATTCCGAAATAATGTACAGGGTGTCAAAAATTTATAGAAACTGATAAATATATCGCAAAATACGTATCGGATCAAAAATTTAAAAGAAAATCACTTTTTTTTTTCCTTTCAAAAATGGTATTCAATGACACAGATTAAACTCTATTCGAAAACCTCATCACAGAGGTGTTGGTTAACTTCAAACTCTTATGTGGAAACACATATTTTTATTGCAGATTTGGATTTTTTAGAAAAAAGTACGCTAAATTGACATACAGGTTGCTATTTTTTAAATTTTATCCCAGGTGACGCTGTAATTGCAAATTGAATGAATGTGGCATATAAATTGGTGAAAATAAAGATTTCTCGGGAATTATATGTCACATCAAAAAATATATAGACATTTTTTATGTTTTGAAAAGTTTGTCAAATGAGACCAAACCCGACTCTATACCCCTTTGAGGCCAGGTTGACTTCCAGGAAGGTGGGCGTTTAATGTGGAGTTTGGGGTCCATTTTTCTCTTAATAGTTTTTTGCAAAACAAGAATTCAGTTTTTAAATTCTTCTTAGTCCCTGACTTGTATTTTTTGAGATATTTCTGTGTAAACAACTTTTACGCATCTCAATTTTGCAATTACAATCTGTGTGATACATTTGCGTACTATTTATCCTAGAAAATCCCAATTTGAACTTGTCCCGCAGTGAACTGATAGTTAAAACACGGTTTCCAGTAGAACACCGTCAAGCATCACTGGCTGCGGTCAGTGAGCGGGTGGGTGTTCACTTGTATCAGTCTACGAAGGGACCTAGGGTGTGCGCTATTGGTCCTCGTTAAACTGTTCTATTGTAAAGTGCTCGACTTCGAGCGAAGGTCGTCGGGCTACAGAAGCTGGGGTGCCGTCCTCTCGACAGAGGATCAAAATTGTGATGGCATTTCTGCGGATCACCCCCAGGAATGTTTCCCAGTCCGTCGTCAATAGCCCATTGTGCAGCTCTAGTACGACGTAAGTAAATTACATCTGCGTCAAATCTGAACATAGAAAAAAAAAAAAAAATAGGGGATTTAGAATTTGAACTTAAATCCGCTACAATCCGTTGTGGGACTGAATTGAATATCATTGAATGCATCTTTGAAAAATATTTTAACCCTGTACTTTAATTTTAAATCCCATGTTCAGATCTCGATATTGTTTTACAATTTTCATGAATTTTAGACATTCTGCACAAGTTGCGTAATTGCGAAACATACTACAGAATACTACAGAAACTAAACTTTATTTTTCAGAACATAAAGGTTTGGACTGATGATGCTTACTTACTACAATTTTTAAGAGCTAGAAAATTTGACGTAAAGAGAGCTTGGGAACTTTTGCACCGTTTTTACGTTTTTTTAGGAGATTACCCAGAAATTTATTCACAGGAACTAGACATGGAGAATGTGAAAAAGGCACATGAAAGTCACCTTGGTGGTGGCGCATATCAGTATCGAGACAAAACTGGATCCATTATATTTATTTGTTCGCTTGGTAAGATCCCACTAGTAATTCGCTTTCCTTTTTTATCTCTAGGTACAGGACCAAAGCAATGTGAACACATCTCTTCATAACTCTTTGTAAGCAATCTTTCTTTTAGCAGCGACAGTTTCGAAAGATTTTACGGAGCAATACCAACGCCTCTTACAACTGAATGCCTCAACATCGGTAGTCCGATCAGACCATTCATTTATTTCGCCTCAAGCTGACCTCTTCATCAGATTGTCGTTTACGTAACTCCGGACAAGCCATGACTGCTGCCCATTTGGACGCGTGCTATGAACTAAACTGACTTTGACTGTATTGTTAAGAAGAACTGGAGAGCTGGAAGCCTAATGACCTAATAGTCAATGGCTCATAATTGTTTCATAAAAATAAGAGAGTTTAAATATAATAGAGCGCACATACGACGCTATTTTCTGTCTTAGTAATGAAACGTGACTCTTGTACGAATCGTACAACAATTCAATTTCTGTTATTTTCAATTGCCGTGTTTCCCCTTCTTATATCAATGGAAGAAAAACGATGCTTGTATTTTGAAGTCAAAAATTTTAAAATATGGTGATTTATCGTGCAGTATTTGATGATACAAAAAATTTGTTAAATTAATACTTCACACATTTTTTCAGGTATGTAAATTTATCACTTTTTGGAATTAAAATTGTTTCATTTATTATTCAAGCAAACTACTAGAATTTTCTTCTTTTCCTTAAAAAAATCATATTAATCCAGATTATTCCATTTATCCATTCTAAATTCCAAATTTATGCTTCCAAATCTAACTTACCAGTAAACATAAACGACTTTAGAGGCAACCATAAACTAATGATTATATAAAATTACTACCTACCCGTTCCTCGTTTGGGGTATAAAAAATAAGTATAATTAATCAACACTATACAAGAACACTACACAATCACTACACAACAACAACAACAACACTACACAACAACACTACACAATCATGCACAATACTTTACGACAAACATCGACACAAATAAAAAAGCAAAAATAATTCCGATATTTTTATTTATTTATTCATATTTGTTGAAATTATTGGTGATTTTATGTTATTAAATTAAGCAAAACCAGTATTTAGTAGTTCATCCCATCAAAATAAAGATCAACTGCATGGAGTATCATCTAGCATATTGCAGATTTAAGGTTAGTTGCGTGAAAGATCTGTTCTCGAATCTCCTGCAACAGAGTTTTTTTCCTTATTGGTTATTGAATCTGATTGGTTACGCGAGTTCACACACAGCGGCAAAGAGAATGTTCCTGAGGCACTTAATTTAGAAATAAATCCTCCTGTATGTCTCCTAACAGAAATAAAATTGTTACACCCTTAAAAAGTAGCCACTACTTGTGGCTACAAACACTACATTAAATAGTTATTGTGGTTAACTTCAACTCTAATAAACTAATTGCAATTTTAATTACTAAAACAATTTTGGAGTTTTTCTGACAACTGACTCCATATTAAGGAAACATGAAAGATTTCGTTTCTGTTACTTGTAGCTAAGTGGGATCCAGATCAAGTTCCATTGCTATATGCACTTTCAGCAGCTTCATGTATGATTCTGAGTTGTATCGAAGATCCAGCTACTCAAGTGAGTGGTGTGCAACTTGTGATAGATACCAAAAATGTCTCATTCAAACATCTACGGGCACTATCACCAAGATATTTACAGTTATTAGGTAAAGCTGTCAGAGTAAGTAAAATTAAAAAAAAAAAAACTGTTGTAAATTATTAATTTACTTAAAGCTTAATTTACTTTCAGCATTATTGTCTTTAAGCATTTTTTTGCTTTTTTATCTATATTGTATGTTCTTGTAGCATATTCTGAATATTCACAAAACCTAATTATATACATTTTTCATTGATTTTTCTTTTCACATCATTTTGTGTACCAATGACTTGCACTTTTATGCATTATTTGCGAAGTATCTCAAACAAATATGAACTGTTAATTAATATTTCTGGCTGCACGATTTTTTGAAACTAAGTAAAAAACAATTGAAAGTAAGAAAAAACAATGATAAAATTAAAAATTATTTACAAAACCTCCATATATACAACATTTTTTATCAAATTCTTCTCCATATTATAGGTTTTCATTTAAACGTCTTGACTCTCCAACGTTTCTTCGCCGCGCGTATCGCTGTCGCGTATTGATAGTACTGCGATTATTTTCCCGGTAATTTTGTACTGCTAAATTTCAGCCCTATGTCGCTGTTAATATCTCCTTAGATAGTCACGGTGATACATTTTTTATAAAAGTTATAAGTATTTTCAAGTAAACTCTGTTCAATATATTTCACACATTCAATACAAAATAAAAATCGCAGCAAGATTTAGCTGGTAAGTTTAGTTGTAACATTTCAGCAAACAGCATTATTAAAAATTATTACCTTTACACACACATGCATTCTCAATTTTGATTGGCTGCTTTTTGCGTTACTAACCAGAAGTCTACTGTGATTGGCTATGTGTTATCATTCCACTCTCTTCTTATATATAAAGATATATGTATATATATATACATACACAAAGAAAAATTATAGACATATGAAAAAAAAGGGGGGAGGGTGAAATAATAAGTAAACAAATAACAAACAAAAGCGCAATAAATGAAACTTATTGTTTTTCTTAACTTTCTTCGTGTTTTCTCGTATTTATTTATTTATTATATATATATATATAAAATAATTTTTTTGGTACGCATCAAAGCATTATTTCCTAAATACCTTCTTCGTAAGATGCAATGCAACGTTATTGGATAAAACTAGAACACGTGGGATTATTTTTATTTAGCTATCATTGCNAACATATTTCAGTATCTTTCGAAGTCCATGATGCATATTTAATGACACATGGATTGCCATTTTGGTCTTTAGATAATCATACATCTAGTCTTGTATTAGATGCGATATATATATATAAACACGCGAAAAAATTAAGAAAAATAATAATAAGTTTTATTTGCCCCGTATAACCTGCAAGTACCCATAAAAAAGTTAAAAATACTAAGAATTCATGAAAAAATTTTAAAGAAGAAAAATTATCAATAAATAAAGATTTTTTAAAGAATATTTAATATTTAAAAAAAAATTTAAAAAAATTAAGAGCCAGAAAACAAATAAGAAAAAGTTATGATATCATCATCGGCTTACACGATTATATCCGCAAAAAGAGTGCTTTCGATTATTGCATTCATGTAGTTAAAGCAAAATATGTCAATACAATAGTGTAAGGAGCAATAAAAAATTTAATACGAAAATAGAACACATTAAGCAAAATATACAAAATAAAATGTATCAAGCAAAAAATAGAAAAAGAAGAATTCAAAAACTTGATCGTTCTACTTTAAATGCCCCAATCAAATTTTTAAACTTTGAATGTAAATTTTAGTTTGATTTGAAATTTTAGTCAACAAATTCCATTTTAAATTATGCAAAGTTTTTAATTATACTAAATCGTTTATTTATAAGGAAGAAAAGAGGAATATCTCTTAAAATAAAAACCGATTAAACTTTTCAATTTGTTTTCGTTTGAACAGTTTGGAGGGGATTTCTTGAACTCCGTGTCCGGGAACTAGCTCATTAGATATTCTTTAAACCATACCCTAATTCCAGGTTAAAAAGCTGTAATATGGCTGGAGTTTAAATCTTCCATTATAAGCATTTCTAATAATTTTGTGTTTTATTTGATCCTCTTATCTGTTAAGTTACTTTTCTTCTAGGTGCATTTTCATGGGAGCGATATGAAACATCTTCACAAATATATTCCAAAAGAGATTTTACCATCTGATTATGATGGTGACAATATCAACTACAGCCCTGGTGAATGGGCTAATAAGGAACTGTATCCATATTTCGAAAAGTATAGTGAACTGCTTCGCAATGGCTTTCACTAATTTTCGTGAAACACTTTCGGTTAAATTACGATGATTTTGTAAAGTTCACCTGATAAATTATCAGGTGAATGGCGTAAATTTTACTCTTTCCTTATTTAACTATATTAAGAAACTAATGCAGCTCTGAAATTATTAATAATTATCACTATTATTCAGCTTATATCTAATCTCATTAGTCACAAACAGTTTGCGTAGGATTCAAGCAGTCAAATTAGGCAATTACATAATTTAAAATGGTATAAAAATTTTAATTCTGACAACTCCAATTTTTTTCTACTATCTATATATATATATAAAATTGAATGTCTGTCTGCGTGTCCTTTATAGACTCCTAAACCACCCAACAGAAAGCGATGAAATTTGCCATACTGATAGTTTCAGCACGAGGAAGGTCACTGTCAATATTAGAACAATCTGCGACAAATCGTTCTTGCAGGATGACTGAAAAACAAAATGGAATTTTCTGATTAGTTAAGTGTTAGCCATTGTTTTAATTCTAGCTATTCTATTTTCACATATTTTAAAGCCAACATCAGTGATAATGGCTAGCTTATAGCTCTGTTTGAACAAAAAATAGTTTATTACACGTTTTTAATATTTAATTATTTTATATTCGCTATGTCAGATGAATTCAATTCGCGATCGCAACGCTTGAGTATACCCTCTTGCTGGAGCCTGAAAATGTCAGGCATTTATTTACTAGGTTTTCAATTAGTTCCATCATAATCATTGGCAGAGCCAGACGCCATTTTTTAGGCAGCAAATAAGAAGCAAGGAAACGGCCGAAGAACTTGAAAAAACTCTCCAGAACATTGGTAAATCTTTCAGAAACAGAACACGCCGAATATTTGAAGAAAAATTCCTCAATAATTTTTAACTTCTATTATCAACAAACTTGTAACTGATAACTTCCGATATCGGGATTGCATATTGTTACAGATGTGTGTATTACGATAAAATAAATTTTTTCGGCTTTTATTCATGACAAATTAAAATGAAGTCAACATTGCTTTCTTCATTCCAATGAATAAATGTGATTTCAGAACGTACAGAACTGTAATAGTTATAGAATATTCTTCTTCTTTATAGAATAGTATATATTTATGTATCTATATAAATCGGAAAACAACAATAAAGAATAATCCGAATTACTTTAGTTGTATCATTTTTGATGATTATTAATAAATTTTTATCGTTTTCTTCGTAAGACTTTTTTAGTTTTGAAAGAATAATTTCAACTAGAATTGAGCTATTCCGTTTTTAAGTTAGATATTCAAATTTATATTGAGATCATACAATTAAAAAATTTTGCTGTGTGGTATGTTATCTAAATGAAATGAAGGGATAATCTATGTATATATTATTTGAAAATAAAATTTTCAAACGAAGAACATTTCATTCGGAATTCTCCGGACTTATAAAGCAGTTGAGTTTTATGATTTTTATAATAAAAAATTTGCTTGTAAATAATTTTTTTCTTATTTGATGTATTTGATGATTTATAGAAAGTATGTTTTTGTTTATGATTTCGTAATTAAAATATCGTCTGCACTAGTTAATTGGAATATTTTGCATTTATTTTTTACATTTTATAACCGTCTTTGAACAGCTGAACCAATTTTGGGTTTACGACTGCTAATGTTCAACTCCGTAGCCTTGTAATTTTGAACCAATCCAGAAGGCAAGGAAACTCCTCGAACAATACCCCCCGCTGTATGATTTTTTATGGGAACTCGGAGGTCTTCGTGATTCGACAGATTTAACGTGCATCAGTCACCTTTTACTACACATTACTATACATCTTCGGCCGGCGGGGATCGAACCCACGACCTCTTGGACATGGACCCAGTGCCCCACCAACCAGTCTATACCGGCCCTAATTAATTAGAATATTTGAGCTAACCCCCTCGAACCATTGAGATTGAGTCCTAGAACGTGAAAATCCGTCATTGAAATCAAAAGTTTTATTTTTTTGGCGCACTGTACACCAGCTTACTCCAGCTCATTGTTTTGAAAACATATTTCAGTATCTTTCGAAGTCCATGATGCATATTTAATGACACATGGATTGCCATTTTGGTCTTTAGATAATCATACATCTAGTCTTGTATTAGATGCGCCAGCTTCTACAAATGTTGATAGTCTTTGCTTGGTACACACCCAAGCAAACAATTTTTATCATAGAATGCATGGTCGAAAACAAAACACAAAACAGTTATAGGGCGTCAAGAGTTACATTCTTATATGAGGCAAAAACACACAAAGAACGATGAAATTAAATTATAAAAGTAAATTTAAAGACATGTGATAACAATAAGTGCTCCAAAACAATGGCCACCATTGGCTATGCACGCAGTACAACGACAAAGAAAAGATAGGCGAACATTCTGAAACACACCAGTCATATCGCGAACTTCCCCTGCAGCGACCGAAAGCTTGGCGACAAGTTCTTCTGCAGATTCAATGTGAGTCTCATACATAAGAGCATTCAGCTGTCCCCTTAAAAGGAAATCGATACATGTAAGATCTGGGGAGCACGGTGGCCAAGATATAGGACCACCTCGCCCAATCCATTGGTTCGGAAAGGTTACGTCCAGATAGCTTCGCACTTCTCGTGCATAATGAGATGGTGCTGCATTCTGTTGGAACCAAATGCATAGACAAAATGCATATCGGCTTTTTCCTTATTAGAGAAGGGCAACATCTTCAGATGAGTTACTACCGCGATTGACAATGCACTCTCGAATCAGCAGCTTTTATGTATGAATCGTGACGAAAATTTGTATACGAGCTCTTCTTCTTATCATAACATGCAAATAATAACTCGCAGCGCTGTAACTCGCAACAAGAATGGAGCTTTCACGTTTGCATGAAACAGCTTTCCAAATGCGCCAGCACCTTTGCGTTTTGTTTTCGACCATGCATTCTTTGATAAAAATTGTTTGCTTGGGTGTGTACTATCACTTCCTAAAATTTTGCCCATCTTTTTAGAATCACCCTGTATAAT